ACTTCAAAATTAGTTATAAATTTAGGCCAAAATGTCTTCTGCTACAAGTTTTTGGTAAAAAATCCCAATAAGTGTATATTTATTGCTTTGTGTGAACGTTATAGCATCTACTAACTATAATATAGATACTGCAATTTACGACATATTTTTGCTATACAGCGCTGCACTAGTTTGACTGACAATTGCGCGGTCATGCAACATGGTACATAAATGAAATTTATGTCATTTTTTCACACAAATAGAGCTTTCTTTTGGTGGTATTTGATCACCTGTGCGTGTTTTATTTTTGGCGCTATAAACCAAAAAAGTTTTGAAGAAAATAACATTTAAAAAAAAACATATTTTTTAAATTCTGCCATAAAAAATATCCAAAAAAACTAAAATTTCATCATAAACTTAGGCCAAAATGTATTCTGCTACATGTTTTTGGTTATAAAAATCCCAATAAGTGTATATTGATTGCTTTGTGTGAAAGTTATAGCATCTACAAACTATGGTATAGATAATGGAATTTACACAGCTTTTAATTTCTGATTGCCCATCACATTTCTTGAGGTGCTAATATACCAGGATAGTAGACACCCTAAGCTATCTGCTGAGAGGCATATTGAGTCCATGGAAGATTTATTTTTTTTCCATAAGTTTCTGGAAAACTTTTTTTACACAAAGTTGTCATGATATGCATTATAGAATACATTTTTATATGCACATTTGTGCATATATTTACCAGGTTTTTTTTTGTGTATTTTATTCACGTTATGCAGTGTGGGTTTGAACATTCATGAATATGAGTACAGACTGTGCTCTAAATAGTACAAAGATGGAGAATTTATAATTCAGTTTTACTATTCCTTTTCAGTTAATTGTTCTATGCAGCGTAGGTAGCTTTGCCTTGTTTTTTAAAATATGAAATACACGTATTTTTCTTTTTGGAAACAGTCTAAATGTAAGAGGTGAGTTAGAGTGGCCTTGCCACCCGCAATAACCTATTGTGGGGAGAAAACGTTAATAAATGTATGTAACTAACCCCTCACCCCATCTGTGAAGTCTAGACAAGGGTGATACAACATCCCTATTGATAAGATCCCTAGGAGTAGCTCAAACCTTACAAGATGACTGTCATACTAGAGAGTTATTTTGCAAGATCTGGACTACTCAGCATTCTCTTACCGGAAGGGTGGTATATCACCATTTGCAGTATGGAAGCCAGAGGTAAGTATATTTAGTGTGTTTTACTCTGTTTTTTTTTGTTGTTTTTGTTTTTTTTACTTTTCTGCAGCATCTGTGCATGGGGAGGGAGACTCCAGTAAATAAGCAGACCTTGCCCTAAATGAATAGGTCCACCTTAATATCAGAATTAGAACTATACATAGTTTAGTTGCATCCAACTTGGATTTCAAGATGATAACCTAGTATGCAGATTTTATAACTGCGCTTAAGGGCTTGTTCATACAGAATGGGTTGTCATGTACTTTACTTTGCACAGTCAAAATGCATTGACATATGAAAATTCATTATATATAAAGAAAATGCAGCGCTGTGTGATGTTGCTATATTGCGGGCAGATATAAATAATAAATGAAACCAAAGCAAATGAATAAATGAATCAATCAATAAATAAATAAATAAATCACAGTCCAGTAATGGTGCTCGCTGATTCCCAGTGCAAAAGTTAGAAATGCGCACTAACCAGAAACGTATTAATAATATGCATGTGTATATGATATCATGGAGATTCCCCTCACTTTTCTGGTCTGGTAATGGGCAGGAGCTGAAGATAGCAGAGATGAAGCGCCCTCGTGTGGCGAAATGGAGGTCCAGCAGGTCACAGAAATCCTTACAGAAGTGTGTGAAGTGGAAAATTCCTCCTCTCAAAGGCTGGTGCAGGGATCAATCTGGGTCTGCAGAAGCTGCAAAGGCTCATCGCAGAAGACACAGGAAAGAACCCATAGTGTAGTAGGTTGATGAAAATGATTTTATTCAAGAAAAACAGGAGTGTTCAGAAAAAACTCACAATGTGCCAGGTTTAATCAAATGACTGACCCTTTAAGATTAAATATGGCCGCTGGGCCTCCACGTGGCACCGGCGGCGTAGTGTCAATGGAGTCCTGGGCTCTACCTGACGCGTTTTGTGCGCACGCACTTCTTCAGAGGTAGAGCTAAGGATCCTTAGCTCTACCTCTGAAGAAGTGCGTGCGCACGAAAGGATCCTTAGCTCTACCTCTGAAGAACTGACACTACACCACCGGTGCCACGTGGAGGCCCGGTGGCCATCTTTAATCTTAAAGGGTCAGTCATTTGATTAAACCTGGCACCATTGTGAGTTTTTTCTGAACACTCCTGTTTTTCTTGAATAAAATCATTTTCATCAACCTACTACACTATGGGTTCTTTCCTGTGTCTTCTGCGATGAGCCTTTTCAGCTTCTGCAGACCTAGATTGATCCCTGCACCAGCCTTTGAGAGGAGGAATATTCCACTTCACACACTTCTGTAAGGATTTCTGTGACCTGCTGGACCTCCATTTCGCCACACGAGGGCGCTTCATCTCTACTATCTTCAGCTCCTGCCCATTACCAGACCAGAAAAGAGGGGGGAATCTCCATGATATCATATACACATGCGTATTATTAATACGTTTCTGGTTAGTGCGCATTTCTAACTTTTGCACTGGGAATCAGCAAGCACCATTACTGGACTGTGATTTATTTATTGATTGATTCATTTATTCATTTGCTTTGGTTTCATTTATTATTTATATCTGCCTGCGATATAGTAACATCACACAGTGCTGCAATTTCTTTATATATATATATTTTTGGGACTTTTATGTGTTTTCCTTGAATGTTCAGCTGCTGACCATTGAGCGCGCTCACTGTATATTTTTTACTCATATGAAAATTCATTGTTAACTGTAGTGCCAACGTGTGTACCAATTTATTGTGTTGAGGGATGTTGGATTTTTGATCACTGTTTTTCCATTGAAGTCAGTAGAATGCAAAAATGTAGAATATCTGAAAATGTGTTATACCTGAGTTAATGCAGCATATGTCAATGCATGGGCTCACAAGATATTCAACATATAGTATAAGCAACGACTAAACACTCATCTGCTTCCATATGGTTTTTTCAATGTACTCACCAGCAATGGAGCAGTTTTTTGAGCAACACCATGCTGGTCTGGCCAGTGAGGAAGTAAAAATAGAAACGGGAGTATTTTTTTTGCTCTCATAGAGATACTGTTGCTGGTGAGTTGTCAGCAGCAACAGGATTGTTAGCATGACATTCCAATTTTAGTGTCTCTAGTCCCCCATTTGTATTTGCTTATGTAAGAGTAGAATAGCAAAGATAGTGCTTAAAAGAGGAACTTCAACTGTCTGGTACGGACATCTTGTATTATTAGCGAGCTGGCTGTGTCTTTCTGATGTCTCACATTTGGCTCCACACCGCACTTGCGCAATACATGGCATCACTGTGAGGCTGGTTTTGCAACCTCATTGGACATGTAAAAATATCCCAGGAGAATGCGGAGGGGTGAGGTGACCAAAGGGATGTTCACTTCACACATCCAAGGAGGCAATGTTTTACTGATGGGTGCATGTGAGCTGCAAAATTCCATTTTGTTAACCTAGCAGAGACCCCGCTGCACATGTGGGCTATTCTTCCGCATAGATTATACAAGGTTCCAGAAACCAGCTGCATGTCTGCACATGTGTGGGAATCTCTCTCGTGTTCATACATTCTGCTGGTTTCTGCCAGGTCCAAAATACCTGGAAGAGACCTGTGGCAGATCTGTGCATGCATGAGATATTTGAAGATGGTAGCACCAAAGAGAAGCAGTGGTAGACGAATTCCCAAGGGTGCAGTTCCTCTTTAAAGTGGATAGAAACCCAAACATGTAAGTATCATATAAACTTTAACAAAGTGTAATTTCAAAAGGCGTTTTCAAATGTTTCAATCTACAGGTTTCATAAACAAATGCCTTGTAATCCTGCCATGATGGTTCTTGTTCAGGCACTTGCTGCTAAAGTGTAAAGTGCGATAACCCTCTGTGCAACTGTGAGCTCCTAAATCCCTTTCGGTGTTGTCACTGGTGTCCAATGATGTTTCATGATGCTTCCAGTGTAAACTGAAAACATGGTTTAGATTTACTTTGATTTCAACTTGGGCAGCATCTTAGGCCCTAGAATCCAGTAAACACACAGATTTATGTTAAACTTTTAAACCCAAAGACTCTACAGGACCAGCAATACATTTTGTATTGTAGAAAATTAAATCCCTACTTCTCCTTTCTGAATTATACTGCCACATGTAATCTCAAAAAAATATAGGTACTTATTTCAATATAGATTTAATGATGTCTTACAATACAGAATTAAATATTTGCAAAACATAGGTACACACTCCCTCCTTACAAAATTCTATTGCATCGCCTTTTTTGGTTACAGGCAATTTATAGCCGAATATTGTTGTTTTTTTTTAGCATTGTGTTTTATATATTTAGAATGTGATTCCTGAAATGGTACACCAGATGAAACTTTTTTTATTGGCAGATTTTTATTTGCGCTTCTGCCCTCAGATGTGTGGAATTTAGTAGTAAAAATATGATTTTACAAAAAGTTGGTCTTTGCCCACTCATACCTAAAACAGTGAAATGTTTTTGCACAAATATAATTTGTTTGGCAGTTTAGTATGTTGTACATTATGCAACTGTAGCCTTATCTGCCTTAAGAATATGCAAGATGAGAAGTTTCTTAACTTCCTTACTATATGCTCATTTATGCCTTTGAATGTTAACCACATAAGACCCTTATTTGTCATTTTATTTAAGGTACCCCCTATATTCCCCCTATATTGTAAAGCGCTGCGCAAACTGTTGGCGCTATATAAATCCTGTATAATAATAATAATTTAACCACCTCCCGTCCGGCCCATGTATATAAACAGTTGGATGGTGGCAGTGCAGGGTCGGGTGACCGTTTATAAATGGCCTCCCCACACCCTGCTTGTGCGTGCTCCCTGGGAGCGCGCAGCACCGCGATCCAGTGCCCGCTGTGTCCTCCGGACACAGTGGAACACCGATCGTCATATGGGACCTCTGTGCGAGGTCCCGATCATGTGATCACTGATTGGCCAATCAGTGATCACATGCAGAGTAGTAAGCAAGATGTCACTTCTGACATCATTGCTTACTACGTGTGAAATCTGTGAATGATCACAGAGGTCACATGGTACAAGGCTATTCACAACAGCCTTGTACCATGTGACAAGCTGTGACCAATCACAGCTCACACAGTAGTTCACAATGGCTGCAGGAATGCAGCTAGAGAGAAGAAGTAATTATTGCTTTTACAGCCTTTATGGGTGTAAAAGCAATCAGTGTTTTAAAAAAAAAAATCTTCATCACCCCCCCATGGTGACACTGTACTGCTAGGTGACAGTATGAAAAAAAACATAAATAATAATATAAAAAAATAAAAAAATGCCAAAAAAAGTTTAAAAATTATAATTTTTGGTTATAAATAATTTGGGTTATTTTTTTCATTTTACTAAAAATAACGGCATACATTTTGGCCAAGATTTATGATGAAATACTATTTATTTGCAAAATTTTATAATAAAAACACTTTTTTTCAAATTTTTTGGACATTTTCATTTACATAGCAAAAAAAAATAAAAATCCCAGTGGGTGAATAAATACCACAAAAATAAAGCTTTATCTTTCTAAAAAAAATGCTAAAAAATTCATATGGGTACAGTGTTGCATGCTGCGCAATTGTCATTCAAAAGTGATAGCACTGAAAGCTGAAAATTGGCCTGGACAGGAAGGAAGGGGTAATGGAGGGGTGTCCGGACTGGAAGAGGTTAAATTATATTTTTCTCGCACAAGCCATGGGTATATGTGGAATTACACCCCAAATTACATTCCACATGTGTGAGACTTTTTGGGAGCCTAGCCAAATACAGGAGCCTGAAATCCAATGACCACTTTGAAAGCCTGAAGGTGCTTAACTTCCTCATTTCACTTCCTCACTACCTATCACAGATTCGAAGGCCCTGAAATGCCAGGATAGCACCAAACCCCCCCCCAAATGACCCCTTTTTGGAAAGTAGACACCCCGAGGAATTTAAAAAGAGGCATGGTGAGTACTTTGCAGATCTATTTTTTTCTCACAAGGTTTTGAAGTATAAAAAAAAAGAGAAAAAAAAGTATGTTTTTGTTTTTTTTCTTCATTTTCCAAAAACTTGAGGCAACAAACGAGATCTGCAAAATACTCACCATGCTTCTTATCAAATTCCTTTTGGTGTCTACTTTCCAAAAAGGGGTCATTGGGGGGGGGGGGGGGTTTGGTGCTATCCTGGCATTTCAGGGCCTCCGAAACTGTGATAGGTAGTCAGGAAGTGTAATGAGGAAATAAAGCCCTTTAAAAGCCTGAAGGTGCTTATTGAATTTTGGGGTCCTGTACTTGGCTAGACTGCCAAAATGTCTCACATCATATTTGTCAGGTGTTATGAAGATATGTTATTTATTTGCAAAATTTTATAACAGAAACGAAGAAAAGTGTGTTTTTTTCAAAAGTTTCATTTTTTTTTTTCAAAAGTTTCATTTTTTTTTGTTTTATTTAGTAAAAAAAAATAAAAAAACTCAGCAGTGATTAAATACCACCAAAAGAAAGCTCTATTTGTATGAAAAAATTCTCTAAAAAAGTTCATATGGGTACGGTGTTGCATGACCGTGCAATTGTCATTCAAGTGCGACAGCACTGAAAGCTGAAAATTGGCCTGGGCAAGAAGGGAGTATAAGTGCCTGGTATTGAAGTAGTTAATCTACCCGAGTTGACCAAAAAAACACCCCACAAAAATACAAAATGCAAAACGTATAAAAAAAAACATTAAAAATGCAAAACGCATAAAAAAGCACTCCAGAAATGGATCAAACGCAAACTGCATAGGTATAACATAGCCTAAAATACAAGCCAGATTTTAGGCATTCTCTGCAACAACAATCATTTTTGGTGAGATGCTCCTAAAGAGGTGATCACTTCTAAATATATTCAGGCACTGTAGCTTTCTACATTAGAGCCCTGCAAGTGTGTAAGTTGATCAATAATGAAAAAGTAATGCCAATAGAATCAGTATCCAAAAGAAGAAACAGTTATTCCTTAAAGTGGTTGTAAACCTCAGACATGAAATATGAACAAAGCATATACCTCTATAGTGAGTACTCTACTGTCTCTATCCAGCTCTGCTGCTTCATTCCTCTTCTATCTACATTAATCTATTCTGATAAGTTTTCCTGAAACCAAGAGAAAAAAGGTGACAGGAAGGGAGCTCCAGCACACATCCTGTGATTGATAGCCTCAGGTCTGTTCCTGTGTGCTGTGTGGAGGGGGGTTTGTCCCTTTCCTCCAATCAGCTCTCAGAGCTCTTCTCACTGAACTCTACAGTGTGTAATTTCAGCTCCCTGCCCCCTGCTTTCTAAAAGCTTAGACAAGCATGATAAATTCTGGACTTTGAACAGATGTAGAGAAGATAAGACTGCAGATAGACAGGTACAACCTATGTAGGAAGGTGTGTTTCATATCTGTGTATCACCTGAGGCCAGTCACTTTACTGGGCATATGTAAGGGTTTACAACCACTTTTAAGTGGAGAAACAGATAGGTCTCTGCAAAAAAGTTTGTTAAAATCCTTGCAATATGCATTGATCACCCAGAGAGGATAGTTTTTTTGAGTGAGAGCTGAAGTGGTTATTTGATGGTGAAGACACATATTTCTGACTTTGCCATATTACTATAGGAGTCTTCTGCAGATGTGTACAACCAGTGACTAGAGTAGTTCAGAGACGGTGATCTCACCTGCCCGGGAGGCAGTATTTTGACAGGCAGGTGCTGGGGGGGGGGGGGGGGGGGGGCATTTACCCAGGCTTAGTATATATTAACATACCTGAATCACACTCTGCAGCATATCATATTTGAAATTTGAAGAGTAGTGTGCTCCTTGTGACTGCTTTTGTATGTTATTTACCCCTTAGCAATGCTTTATTCCCTGTGATGGCATTTCTTGGACTTGATTCCCTACAATGGCATTATTTTAATGCCACAATGCTAAGATCTGTATCTGGCTGTAAGGCTTTTTGATTATGTATACATTTCATCATCTAGATTTCAGGGTGATAAGTTCTGAAAATTATTTTGGAAGCAATGAGAAGAAGGCAAAGACACAGATCACTGCTTTGTGAACCTTCCTTCGATTTGATTGACCCTTCCTTGAATCGAACTATCCTTCCTTCTATCGATTGATCAAACCTTCCTTTGATTGATTGACCTTTCCTTCAATCGATCGATCCTTTCCTTACATTGATTTAGCAAACCTTCCTCCAATCGATTAATCCTTCCTTCAGTCGAACCTTTCTTCTATTGATCCTTCCTTTGCTCAATTGATCCTTCCTTCAATCAATCGAACCTTTCTTCGATTTAACCTTCCTTTGATCAACCCTTCTTTCGATACTATCTTCCTTTGAACGATCAATCCTGTCTTCCTTCAATCCTTCATCCCTTTGATCGATCATGTCTTCCTTAAAATCATTCCTTCGATCGACCCTTCCTTTGATCCTTCCGTCAATCAAAGGATCAATCAAAGAAAGGATCATTTGAAGAAAGGCTTAATGGATCAAAGAAAAGATCAAAACTGCTTCAGTGTGAACCTAACTTTAGGCAGCAAGGATGACTAGGGAGGAGAGGTGAGGGTTAAAAAATCATCCATCAAAGGGGCATGGTGACCGCTCACCAAGGTGGCCGCATGACACTTTAGCTCCACCAGCACTCCGGGAGAAACCCCTATCCACGGACACCCACCGGCATCCGCATCACATCCCCACCACTCTGACATCCCGCTGAACTCACGGCGATGTCTTGCTGCCGAAAGGACTCATCCGCTCTGCAGAAATTGTCCAATTTCTTTCCTCCACGGATGAGAGAGCTACAACAAAATGGCGGACGGAGTCCATCCGGGTCTTCCACCTCCAGTCCTCTAACGCCTGCCTCCTTTCCATCTTCGGCGGCCATTGCAGAGCAAATGGGCCACACGGAAGATGAGAGCTGCTCCCCATATCTTCTCCCAACACCCAGAGCCAGGCAAAGTCCCGACCCAGGAGGGACTCTCTCTCTGCCCATCTACCAGATCCTTGTATGGATCTCGGCTCTCATGATGACAGTGCAAACTCCGAGGCCTGTAATCCAGATCCGTTCACCTCCTTTCCTACATCAGGTCAGCCAGTCTCTGATACTATACTAAAAGACATGTTACTATCTCTACTGTCCTCCCTCCAGTCTGACATGCTAGCATGTCTCCACAAATACACAGCAGAAGTCCAGAATCTGGTGGAGAGGGTCCACCACTTGGAGGATAATCTAAGCTCTTGTGTATCATCATATAATGGCCTGACAGATGCTTATGACAAACATAGCGATGATATTGTCTGGCTTAAGTCTAAATTAGCAGATTTGGAAGATCACTCCAGACACAACAACCTGAAACTTAGAGGTATCCCTGAATCGATTCAGCCTTCCCAACTACCTCACTATGTACGAGAAATTTTCAAAGTGGTAATTCCATCTTTGACATCTGAAGACCTCACCATCGATAGAATTCACAGAATTCCTAAACCGTCCTTCCTGCCACAAGAGGTTCCCAGGGATGTCTTAATGCATATACACTACTACCAAGTCAAAGAGCATATCCTGTCTGCATTTCGCAAAAAGGATAATCTATCGGAAAGAGCTAATTCTCTCCAGGTGCTCCCAGATCTCTTAGCACATACTCTACAGCAGCGCAAGAATCAATCTCCATAACCAAAGCTTTACGAAGCCATATATACCATACTAGTGGAAATACCCGGCCACACTAAAAATTATCTGTGATGGCTCGTCCTTCTTGATCAAGTTTGTGGAAGATAGTATTCACAAACTTAGATCTTGGAACATTATTCCAGAATTTCCTCCAGATCCAGACGTCCGACATCCACCTCCAAAATCCCAACCGGAATGGCGGAAAGTTCCCTACAAGCACTCCTCCAAACAGCGTCCGGAGCTGGGTCACAACACCTGAAGTAAACTTCACCATCCAAATGGCTTCTCTTGAAAGTGCTTTCTTTTTCTATTATAAGATTACAGCTTCTT